AAAATTCACCCAAGATATTACACAATTACTTTGCAAAACACTGAATTCAAGATGTTAGATCTATGTTTTTGCTGAAGAATCACACTCAAGTCAAGCCCAAGATTAAACTGATGAAAAAATTACAGCACTGTCCTCCAGATCCATATCATTACAGTATTTTCCAAAATAAAAGAATTCTATAGATTTAAAGAAATTTGATAGCAATCATTTCAACAAATCATTCAAGTATGCGAAGTTAATAAACATGACAGAAGAACAGAGGGCAGAACTAAAGTAGCTTATCAGAAGACTGAATTACCAAGATTTTAGGTGTGCAAACAAATATGCACTACTTCATTTTCTAAAGCCCAAATGAGAAAAAGAATAGTTTTTATGGCTTCTATTTTTATCTATTAGATATTCAAAGAGCACTTTAAACAAACCCCTCAAATACATCTGATGATACTTACAGATGGATCTGACTGAAATAAATATGGTCGTCCCTCATTCCAACCACAAATAAGTAAAGAAACTCCAAATGGACGAACACCACTGCGGAAAAGAAAATGAAAATTACTTGGTATCCTCATGGTGTTGATGTCATCCTCAAGTAAGAATTTATCAATATTCTCAAGTAAAGCAATTTATCTTTTAAGTTCCTTAAAAAGCATTTAACACCTTTCTGACCGAATCAAGTCAAAAATAATTCTCTTTATGGTAGTGAGAAACAGGAGTAAGACAATTTTGGATTAAATGTAGTGACACCTAAAGACACTAAGGTTAGTAAGTGTGGAGTAACATTTAGCATCCTTACAAAATGACAACTTTCAACTAATGCAGCATTTTCCACTGGGTTTACATATCAACAACTTTATACTGTCTTATCCACACCCAAACTTAAGAACATTGGAATTAATGAATACAAATGTGGCAAAGAGCTACTGCTCTCATCATGTGTTTACAATCATTTCTGGTTGGAAAGATAAATTTGGAAGTAGCAACGATTGTCTGCCCATAAAGAAGTGTTTTAGTCACTGGTAAAAGGACTTTGTATATCTAGAAGCTCCTTTCTGCTGTTATTTGAAGAAGAAAACATTCACACTTTTTACTTAATATTCCAGAACCAGTTAAGATCAGAAACATTCATCAGATGGTTTTCTCCATTTATTTAGCAAACACAGGACTAGTAAATCCCCCTCTATTCAGATATTTACTCCTTTAAAATGACTCTTTTTTTTGTAATTCATGGCACACTTCAAGTAACAAAAGTGACTCACCCTGACTGGGTGTACTCTTGCATCACAGAAGCTACTCTCTGCACCAGCTGAGCTGTAGGAATGGGTTCTTGGTAAACAAGGTAGTACTGCTGAGCTAGTTTTCGAGCTCTGTGTACAAGCACTCTAACGAACAAGGAAGAAATAAGATTTAATAAAAATTAAGAAGCTCTATTACGTAAAGACTCATTCTCCTTCTATAGGCATATATCTACGGCGTAAATTTAACATGTCTCTCTTTAATAGTAGCTATTAGCTCAAGGCCAGTCTTATTCTTACATCTGAATCTAGCTGATCTAAAACAAAATATTAGAGTATCACAGAGGGGCTGAATGAGAGGAGACAGAGAAGAACAAGGCAAAAGGAAGAAACTTACAGACTAGGGCACCATTCGGCTAAAAAGTAACAGATTTCATGTATAAAATGAGAGCTTTCTCCCTCCACATCTTCTTTAAGATTGTCCCCTTACTCGAGAACAGCCACCTGTCTTTTTATGTCTCCTACTAGCCAAGACACACATACAGGTACACATGAACACACAATTCTACAAATATTTTTCTCACTCTGCCTCAGTCTCTTCCGTAGACTGCCTTAATCTCTTTGACTGCACTTCAGAGATTAAGAAACAGTAAAAAACTATAACTGTATCTTCTGAAATGTCAAAAGATATTAAGAATATACCATATAACAATCAAACATATTAGCAAGGGCCGGCCCGTGGCTCACTCGGGAGAGTGCAGTGCTGGTAACACCAAGGCCACCGGTTGGGATCCCACATAGGGATGGCCAATTGGCTCACTGGGTGAGCGTGGTGCTGACAACACCAAGTCAAAGGTTAAGATCCCCTTACCGGTCATCTTTTAAAAAAAAAAGAAAAGAAAAAACATATTAGCAAGACAAACAGGATTTATCTTTACCTACTCACACAGTACTGATCTGAAATATGCACATTACCCCTCTGTACGACACACACGCCTGTCCCTCTGCTTGCTGCAACAGTGGCAGCACACTGCAGTATTCCCTCTGTTCAGAGGAAACAGGATCCACTGTGGTGAAGCCTCATCACATTCCAGGGGCCTTGCTGCTTTTTCTGACTAATTAAAGTGAAATTTTGTTCTACCTATTTTCCTCTACAAAATCGCGAGTAATAAAGTAATACTCTGTAAATGACAAGCACAGAATGCCATCAGTCTCTTTCAACTTGCTGGTATCCTGATTTAACAGGATTATTCTCTCTTTTCCTGTGAAATATAAAGGGAGTGATTATTTGAGTATCTGGATCCTGGCTGACTGCCACATTCAGTAGCTTCAAAGGCCTTTGAGAATTTTGTCCTTTTGCTAAGAACAGAAATAAAGGTAATGAGGTTAACTCTGGATAATGATACTTTTTAAAATACAGTTGATTATTATTATAAAATGTATTGCTTTTATCATCTTTAAATTGCATTAGAGAACACCAAAGCCTTCAAATCCAGTCCTTGGATAGTAGAAGAGGGATAGCGATTAGAAATAAGAGGAGTAAGTACTACATCTATCTCCTCTTTTACAACTAAGTAGTGTTAAGTTATTCTCCTTAAAGTAACCCACACAGGCAAACTAAAATCAGCTGTCAGTGAGGCTGCTGTTACTCAACAAAGCACAAAAGAAAGGAGTTGGAAGATTAAAAGAAAACATCCCTTGATTTTTCTCCTCAAATTATAGATTACATTGAATTCATGAGATGGTAAGAAAAACTATACATAGTAAAAGCACCTGTAATCTGGGCCCATGCCACTATACACCAGACCTATATGCTTGGTGATTGGTTCCACTTTGTGTACACTTCGCTCATCATACAGAATGGACTTCTGTTTCTTCTCAGTTGCCAATACCACACCATTTGCAGCTTAAAAAGAAAAAAACAAAAGACCTGGATGTTTAATCATTTAAAGACTCTATTTCAACAGCTTTCTAATTATGAATGCATTAAATTCAAAACCCTTTGTTATTTCCTTTAATTTATAAAACATTTTCTTCTAGATTCCTATGTCAAAATTACCTAAGAAATGGTAAATCAATTTTTCCCTCATTGGTCATTTATACTGCACGAAAAAAAAAATCCCTACAACTAAAGGATGAACACAACCTTTCTTAAACTACTCTAGGATACCTGAGAGTTTACATGTTTTAAAATAATGGATTTCTGCCTTCTTGGTCTACTGTTTTTATAACATGAAATGTAAAACAAATGGTATAGACTTGTTTTGAAGGGTACTAGGTTATGAAACAATTATAATATCTTTAGATTATGTTTTATACTTAACTTTTTGTAAATTATAGGAAGGATAAAAACTTCCAGACAGCACTGAAATAATCAGTGGAAAAAGAAAAGAAAACTCAGTGTTCTGAATGGGAAAGCCTATTTGTGGGTTATCACAACTAACAGATAAAGGTGCTATGTTTACTTTAGAAAAATATTTTAATCACTTCCATAGGCTTATTGCTATTTTCTTTAAACTTCTAAACACTGTAAATTAACAAAAAGAACTGTTAAAAATTATGCTGCCACAGATATTTATTTATGAATTAATTACTAATGAACTCCCCCAAATTAGGATAATTATTAGCAGGCATCTGAAATGAATGAAGCATTTAATTACCTTTAATTCCCACTGAAGGGGCTCCTCCAGCTACAGCAGCCAAAGCATATTCAATTTGGACAAGTTTACCAGACGGGCTTAAAAAGAAACAGTTATTTGTTAAGTTCACATATTCTCAAATATTTATTGAAGAAACATCTCTGAGAGAGAATAGATATACAGGTCAAACCCCATCAATCAAACCCCAGGGAATGGCTGGCCTCTGAAATCTAGCATGAAGCTGTACAGAAACTAAATTTACAAGACGATCTGAACATAGTCATAATGAAGCACTAATTTCTCTTTCCTCTGTTTTTTGTCTGCTTCTTAAAGCAGCATCACTACTCTTTTCACCACTTATCAACCTTGTGACTTGGGCCAAGTCACTTAATATTTCTGTGTCTGTTTTCTCATCTGTAAAATGAGTGTAACAGTACTACAGTAGTTAATTATTTCAAGGGATGTAATGATGATCATTAAATAAAGTGATGCCTATAAAAATTTCTGGCACAAAATTAGCAATAAGCAAACACTGAATAGAATATTATTAAGAACATATATATGTGTCTGTAAAAAATCAAAGGGCAGCACATATTTCACATGGGGGGCATTTAGAAGTACACATGATCTAAAATATAAGATCTAGATATCACTCACAACAAAATGTTATCTATATAACAAAAAATTACTTCTAGGAGACATTAGAAAGCTATGCTTAACAAACCTGGTTCCATGGATTTGGTAGCCAAGTACTAGTCCCAAACTGACTTTTTAGGCCATACTTTATTTCAATCTACTTGTTGAGTTAGAATCATCATAAATATCACAAACCAACCTTTTCTTATAAAGTCCTTGAATGGAAGTAATTTGTCCAAAGTAACACAGCATACCTCCAATCTACTACTGAAAAGATAATCTTAGGTTTCAGCCCATTTGTTTCCTCTTCATACAATTCCCTTTGTCACTCGTCTCAACTCACACCATCCCACCTTGCTCCAGACACAAAGACTACTCTTAGACTTCAAAAACCCCTTTGACAAGCTAATCCCTCTCTCTGAAATGCATTTCTCTATTGCCCGGTAAACTTCCAGGCCATCCTTCTTTAGTAGAAATGTCATGTCCTCAGGGAAGCTGCTCTGACCTCTCAGACTAGAATTACTCCCCATACACTCATGTCTACAGTGTCCAGTACTTCCTCTTAGACTAAGATTCATCATACTTGAATTTTTTTTACAGTATTTGTCTTCCTCAACAAAGTATAAGTTCCATTCTGTCAGGATTCCAACACATACTCTAGTAACAGGAATACACAATCATTTGACTGACTGAAACACATCTACACCAATTTAAGGAACACAGGCAGCAGCTTAAGGACTCTCAGCAAAATTAGTCAACTTGAGCAGAATAAGGCCAACCGTCATTTAATTAAAAAATTAGGCTAAACTTTATTTCACATGGGGGGCATTTAGAAGTACACATGATCTAAAATATAAGATCTAGATATCACTAACAACAAAATGTTATCTATATAACAAAAAATTACTTCTAGGAGACATTAGAAAGTTATGCTTAACAAACCTGGTTCCATGGATTTGGTAGCCAAGTACTAGTCCCAAACTGACCTTTTAGGCCATACTTTATTTCAATCTACTTGTTGAGTTAGAATCATCATAAATATCACAAACCAACCTTTTCTTATAAAGTCCTTGAATGGAAGTAATTTGTCCAAAGTAACACAGCATACCTCCAATCTACTACTGAAAAGATAATCTTAG